GGAAAACGCCTTTTTGATGTATATATTCAGGTAATCATTAATTTTCTCACACTAATCATATCATTACTTGCTAAATTTATTAATTTTTGTAATCCCATTGTCGTGAATGAAATGTTCTAATTAATTAGGTCTTCCTTTTGATTTTGATTACAGGGAGAGCTAATATTACAGGATTTCAATATAAAGAAAGAAGCCGGAGGTGCCAATAAGAACATTATGAAAAGTTTCACGACTACAGTAGCTGACCATAAACCGTTGCAAGTAGAATTTTTATGGGCCGGCAAGGGATCTGTATATAGTCGAACATTTCAAAATGGACCTCTCATTTCAGCTATTTCCATAACACGCGGTATAATGTTCAATAATTTTCTCTCTTCATTTTTCTCTCTTTTTTGTTTCTTTCTTCACTTAATGACTGCTCTGCACTCTGGTTCTTGAAGCTCCAAGAAAATTAACAGCTTGGGAAATAGCTGTAATTGCAGTTTCTTGTGTTCTTGCTCTATTTCTTTTGATCGCTTTCTTGTGGAGAATGGGTTGGATAGGAGACAAAGAGCTGCACAGTAAGAAATCCATTCCTTAATAATTTTATAAACACATGCATAGACATATATAAGGTGGATTATAAAAATTTAAGATTCATGTTTCTATTTAATTTAATAACTTGTTCAATTTGATGTTTGCAATTGAAAATAAGAACACGCGTAAGGATTGGAATGCAGTCTTTCACTGTTAAACAGATAATTGATGCGACTCAAAAGTTCAGCCCAAAAACCAAGATTGGAGATGGTCGTCTTGGGATAATCTACAAGGTTAACCTCTATCTTGATATGTATATACATGTACATATCGGCCTTAATTAGTTATTGGTCATTTTTTTAATATTTTCTCCCTGCATTATACATGATTGTAGGCTCAATTGCAGAAAGATTTGATCGTAGCAGTGAAGAAGCTTTTTCCTCAATCAAAGACAGTTGAAGAAATAAGAGCAGAGATCATGGCATTGTCGGAGTTGGAAAATCCGAATCTTGTTGAACTACTGGATTGCTATTCTAAGAGAGGGCTTCATTTGCTAATATATGAATATATGGATAACGGATCTCTTGAGAAAGTTTTATTTGGTAATTTCTTTAATCCCACGAGCTCAATACTCTAACAAATAAATTTCATTATTCAAAGGTTTAATTAGACTTGCATGTAGATTCTGATCGTCCACTTAGTTGGGAAACTAGATACAGTATCTGTGAATGAATAGCCCTGGGTTTGGAGTTTCTACATAAAAAGAATCCACCCATTATCCACAGAAATATCAAGGCTAGTAATATTCTGCTTCATGAAAATTATGAGGCAAAAATCTCAGATTTTGGATTGGCAAAGCTTTATGAAGATGATGATCCATTTATGCTAGCCAAAGCAGGAATCACACGGTAAGTATTGAGCCATCAATTTTTTATTTTTTACTTTCAGAAGTTGATTAAAAGTAATTTTTTTCATTTTTTCTTGTAGTAAGTACATGGCACCTGAGTATGCATCTCAGGGAAAAATAACAGTGAAAGCCGATGTCTATAGTTTTGGCATTCTACCCCTTGAAATCGTTAGTGGGATAAGGATTGATAAAAATCTCGGAAATGATGAGGATACTATTTATCTCTTAGAAAAGGTAAATTCAGGCTCCTCCTATTTATTAATCACCATCTATAGTTATAGGGGGAAGGGATGGGAGAAGAGTGAGGCTCGAATGTTAAAAAAAATAATAATAATAATTAATATTTTGGAAATGTAAAATACTATAGTATTTAATGTTTCACAAAAAGTTCATTCAACTTTCAAAACCTGTTATGATAGTTATGTTACTGAATGTAACAATTAATAGAGATAGAATATTGATTGATGATTTGGTCAAAATGTTAAAAGTTAGGGCACAAACTGTTATCAAACCAAGTTTAAAACTACCACTTTCATGTAAATTTAAGAAAAGAATATATACTTTCAAGTTCGAATCCCTAACTGAGATAATGCACTTGCAGGTCGAGAAATGTTGCAAGCATCAAAATTATGAAGAATTAATCGATAAAACGTTGAAAAAACATCCATCAGGGAGAGTGTCGCCCACAACCCTACACTAGGCCATCACCATCATTGACTTGGCAATATTGTGCATAGAGCATTGGCCTTCTAATAGGCCTCAAATATCAGATGTCATAAGTGTTCTTCAGGGCCAAAAAACCGTTGAGGATATTAGGACATTACTTGAAACTAGGGCTTCCCAAGTCAGTAGAAACAGAGATATGGATCCAGAAACAGGATATGGAGTCCTTTCCCAGTCTAATTTAATATTTTGGTGATTTACTTTGGAGTTTTCTTATGTGAACTCTGCTTCATGCACTCCTTATATATTGGTGTTGTTTAATTTGTTTTCATGTTCCGTTTTTTTCTTTTTTCTTTTTGTTTTATATCATTTTGTAAAAACTTAAATGCTTTGAATAGAATATTTCCGCAATAAGTCCACTTATAAAACCGTTGAGGATATTAGGACATTACTTGAAACTAGGGCTTCCCAAGTCAGTAGAAACAGAGATATGGATCCTTCCCCAAGTCTAATTTAATATTTTTGATTTACTTTGGAGTTTTCTTATGTGAACTCTGCTTCATGCACTCCTATATATGGTGTTGTTTATTTGTTTTCAATGTTCCTTTTTTTCTTTTTTCTTTTTTGTTTTATATATTTTGTAAAACTTAATGCTTTGAATAGAATTTCGCACATAATCACATTATAAAATGAATTATAATTTTAATTTTAATTAGAAAAAAATAGCATCTTGAAAACATGAATTTTATGAGTTAAATGATATCGTGTCGAATCACACTATAATTAATCATAAAGATAAACACCTAATTAATAACAACACGTAAGATGCTTCCGTGTGGATCTAACATGCTAATAGTTAAAGGTTGATTTACAAATCACAAAATCACATCTCGATTGATTATAAGAAATCGAATACATTTTGTAATTACATTGTTGTTGCCACATTAATCAAGCTCACATTAACAAAATGCCGTGAAAATAATCTTGATATTATTTGCAAAGAGAGTCTCGTTTCTTTTTGTTGAACATATGGTTCTGTGTTTCTTTATAGTTTTATTTATATTGAAAGATAAATCCATGTGAATTTCATATCAATAGAAAGGAAAATGAAGAGAATGAATATTTACGTAGATATAAATATTAATAGTATTGTTAATTATTTAAAAAAAGAAAGTGAAAGATTTTCAAAATGTTAATGAAATTATTAGTTTTATTAGTTATCAAAAAAACAAAAGAATATTAATAGTAGCTCTACCCTATGAGAAACATGTTCTTCTTCATCTGCTCCTTTTCCATCTTTAAACTTTGAAGGCTTCATAGATAAGAAAGGATAGGAAGATATAAATAGAGAAGAATTCCAGAGGTAGAGGACTTCTATTTCTACTTTCTCCACCTATTTATTTTTTTATTTCTATTTATTTACTTTCTCATCAATTTTGTCTTATTATATATGACTAAGATTAATTGAATATATACCTAAAAATAGATGTTATTGCTTATTAATCAGTCAAGTGGAAATAGTAAAACTTTAATAAAGCTTAATTTCTACTCTCTTACTTTTTTTATTTACACATAAAAAGTTTGTAATATTTTATAAGAGTACCATAGCAATTTTGTAAAGGCATGCTAATTTATATTGGGATTAATTTGCAGTTGAAAACAATGAAAAATAATTTTTTATTTAAACGAGAGTATTTTTAACAATAATTTTTAAAAATTTTTTATTTTCATTAGTTTGGTTCATAAATAAATCCATAGACCGGATCTAATTAACTAATAAGTTTTGATCATAAAATAGTGGGATTTGAAATATGAAAATGAATGTAATTAGAGATTAGAAATTGGGGAATATATAATTAGGAGGAGGATAGAACAGTAAATAGAGAGGATGGAAAGAAAGAAAAAGGTGAGGGAAATAAGAAGGTGGTCCCAAAAGGAATTGAACATAGTCACGCCTACGCCACCACATGCAGACAGGGGAGTGAGAGTTTCTAAATCTCCTAAGAGGCTTTTACTAATAACTTAAGGTGTCTGTGGGTGTGTTGTTGTAAGGTAAGCATCAAATTTCCAACGAAGAACCAAAAAGAGTATGAAACACAAATAACTAGCATCTGGTGACCACTTTGCATGGTTCCTTACATGTTGCATAAGGTTCACACAAAAAGGAAAATCAAACCAAAACCATTTTTTCTTTAACCCTCTCAAGTGGCGTTTGGTTTGGGTTATATCCACTACTCTTCTATTTATTTATTTAATTAATTAATTCACTAATACTCACTCTCTTTTAGGTCGGCCCATTAATGGATAAAGAACTTCCAATGAATATTTATAATCACTCGTCTTGACGCTTTTGATATCTTCGACACTCTTTTAGTGGAATATTATACAATTTACATTATCTACGACAGTTAGAATAATATAAAACCCGGGAAAGATAACCTCAATCCGTATAAGACGGAAATATATGTTAAAAATTATTAATTTCAAACATAAAAATATAAATTGAAACCTTGAGATCTCAGGCCATCACCCTTATTATATACTATTTGGAATATGCATAATTTGCTAAACTCAAACATACCTAACTCGCTGTTTATGATAATTTTAACTAATTAGATTAGTTTGTGAAGTGAAAATTGCACATATGATTTTAAAACCTGGAGGAACCAATTGCGTGAGCTACTATTAATATTTACATGTTTATATGAAACATTAATGAAAAACCGTAAATTATTTAAAAAGAAAAACCTGTAAGGTTTTCAAAAATTTTAATAACATTATTAATTTTATTAATCATTGAAAAATTGAAGAGTGTCATTAATTATATTAATTCAAACTCTCTATCAATTATGTTAAAGAAATAGTTTTTCTTAAAATAAAAGGTAAAATAATATTTTAGTATTTTGCTATGTCAGTATTCTAATACTCTATAAGGCTGCATTTGGTTCATTGCAATCAACTATATAATGAAATAAATATTACATTACTAATTGATTATAATGTTTTGATGAATTTTTTTTACCCCATATTGTAATTGTAATTCCATTGTAATCTCCCCTGAACGCTAATCAAACTCAACTTTTTATCATCATTCCAAACCTTGACCACCGCTCCATCACCACTTTTACGTTTAGCTAATTGCTAAAAAATCGATAAGCACCGTTAAAATAACTAATATTATATAACAGTAACATATGAGTAAGACAAGTTACCTTATTTGTTAGGAATGAATATCAAGTATAATCACATTACAAATTCCAATCAATTATTTTTGCCTTTTTGTTTTATAAAAAGCTTAATAATAAAAAAAAAAAAAAACAAACTACCACTGTTTTAAAAAGGATACTTGTTTTGTACTACTCACTTATCAACTTTTTCTTTTTGCTTTTTGTTTTTTTTTTTTTTCCTCCCAACACCAATGGTTGTTTGGGTTCAATGGTCACGTTACCCAATTCAGGCTTCCAATAAATTTGTAAAGAGATTCTACAAGAGTGGGATATTAATGGAACTTTACTTTTTTCAATCATTTATGCTTTTGAGACAGAAATGTTACGCAATAATTGAGACTTCACCTGAACAATTGAAGACATATTCTAACTTTAATTTATAATACTTTTCACAATTAAAATTTCATTATCTCTTAAAAAAATCATTAAATCTGTCTAAATTATAATGAATTATTGAGTAAATTGACTATATTATTTTTAATTTAATATATTCAAATACCAAATAATTATTGGCCATATACAAAGGTAAATATTTAAAAAAATTTATTACTCCTTGAAACTTTGAAACTATAAATGTAAAGTATTCTAAAACAAATTATTTTCTTAAACGTGACAAATATTGCAGAGTGTAGGTTATATAAATCAACAACATTTTTACTATTGTTTTAGAAAGTCGTTTGATTGAAATGATTCATGCAATTAATATTGTGCAGCTAATAGTAGACAGAATTCTAATGGGTTGTTGATTAAATTAAGTTTTGGAATTTTTCTGTATAAATTAGTAATTGATCTGCATTTATATTATATTTAGATTTAATTAAATTTCAAAACAAATTAATAGTAAGATTAAATTAATATTTTTTTATCATTTGTTTGTTTTATAATTATTTAAAATAATAAATTTATATTAAATATTATTTTAAAAAATTTAAACCTTACAAAAATAATTGCTAAAATTTTTTTCCAAATTAATATTTCATTATCATTTTACTTGTAATTATCAAGAAAAGAAATTACTTTAGCATCGCCTTAATTTTTTATTTTACATACAATAAATTGTTTTTAAGAATTGCCATTATTATTATTATTATAAAAAGAAGGGGAAAAAGAAAAAGACTCAAAAGAAAAGGACTTGAATGTTCATTTGTTTTGTGTTGCGTGTCATCGTGGCCCTAATTGGAAAGAAAGGGCACAATGCTTTGGTCTTTCCGTTTCTTTATTTTTTTTCTCTTTTTATTAGTAATATTTCTAATACATCATTTATACTAACTCGGAATAGATTAAAGGGAAAAAAAATAAAATTCTCTAAATTATAGCCAAAATTAATAAATATATAATGCATTATATTTTTCAGTTGGATATACATATATATAATATTTTTTATTTTAATATGTTACATAAATAAAAATATTAATTAGTTTTGTATAATAATATATAGTTGTTTATTATTTCTAAATTATTATAAATAAAATTATTACATAATATTGTTAGTTAGTTTTCAAATAATTAAATTACTAATACACTCATCTATCTTACTAACTCGAATACGATGAAAAAGGGCAAAAAAATAAAAATTCTCTAAAAATTATAGCCAAAGATTAAATAAATATATTAATGCATTATATTTATTTCAAGTTGGAAATACTAACAGATCAATATATAATATTATATTCGATCTTTAAATAATGTTACATAATAAATATTAATATTAGTTTGATATTAATAATATATAGTTGTTTATTATTTCTAAATTAATTATAAAATAAAATTATTACTTTTGTATAATAATATATAGTTGTTTATTATTTCTAAATTATTATAAATAAAATTATTACATAATATTGTTAGTTAGTTTTCAAATAATACAATTTAACCTTACATTGAAAAGCATATATGCTATCAAATACTAATTTTCTATCTTTTTTATTTTGTATAAAAGCTTAAAATAACTCTTTCTATATGATTCACATTCTATTTATCATTTCAAGTTTTTAAATTTTTATGCTCTGAATTTGTCTTTCTATTGTTCATTGCGTTTTTAAATAAAGTTTCTTTTTTTTTTTTTTTTTATTTTGAAGTCGTTGTAAACGATAAATTTTGTATCTTTATTTGATTTTTACACTCTATATTATTTAGAAATTATGATATTCCACTTTTATTTCATAATATATTCTTTACATTAAATTAATAATTACTACCTCTATTTCATAATACTCATCACATTTGAAAAAATAATTTGTTTCAAAATACTTGCCACGTTCGTAGTTTTAAGGAGTAATAAAATTTTTTTGCCTTGTTTATATTTTGTATATGATCAATAATTATTATTCAATTTCATAGTTTTTTTGGAGAATTAAAATTAAGGATAATAAAATCAATTTATTTAATAATTTATTGTAATTTAAATAAATTTAATAATTCTTTTACAGGAGATAAAATTTTAAATGTGAGAAGTACAATGGAATACAATAATTTATTTCTTTTCAATAACAATTTAATTTATTATTTCATATATTGCTTCGAGAATTTACTAAGTTGAGTTTGAGAGTGTCATCATGCTTAGAGTAAATGCACCTGTCACCGATAACGTAATAAATGAAGGATGATGTGTATGAAGAGATAAATGAGAAATATATATTAAAATAATAATTTTTATAATATTTATTTACGTAATAGGCGCTTCATTAATCTAATTAACGTTTAACAATGGTAATTTAAAATATTTGACGAATAAAAATAAAAGTTAAAGCTGCTTCAAAATTAAAATAACAAAATTTAAGGATAAATTTATATATTTCACTTTTAATTATAGTTAATGATTTAAAAAATTAAAAGATAATAAAACTTGACCGTGACGACTTAGTTTCCATTTTTGGTTTTTTTCTTCTAAACTGAGTCTATTTGGTTGATAAGGATGAAGATTCCTTTCTTTATTCGTATATATGGGGACCAAAGAGGAGACTTGCCATTGACACTTTGAGGCTCTATAAATTTAGGAGTAACGGAAAGAGCCTTCCAAAGAATAAACAATGTGTAGTAAACTTTCAGTGAGGGCTCTACTTATTCCCATTCTTACTTTCCTTCTTCAATGGCAACTTGTTCATGGAGCTGATAAACCTTACATTACTAGAAAACCGCAATCAGTTTTTAATGGCAATCCTTACTGTAAAAGTGGTAGACCTTATTCTTCCTGTACATGTCCCAGCTATAAACCTGATTGTGGTAGAGGTAAACGTCTATAAACACAATTTCAAACTCTTTTCTTTTCTTTTCTTTTCTTTCAAGAATCAGCTAATTCCATTGTTACTTGTTTGGATTAACATTAATTCTGTCTACAGTTTATAGTGGTGGAACATCTAGAAGGGAATATTGTGACAGAAACCAAACTCTGCCTTGTGACGAGTGTAAGCTTCCATACCCACATTTAACTCTCTCTTTTCTTTCAAGAATCAGTGCTAATCGTTTTTTTGTTTTCTCCTTTCTGTTCAAATTGAAGAATATGAAATCACTGTTTGACTTTTTCTGGGTTTGATGTAAATTTTTTTTGAAATATTTGGTAAGCTTCCATACCCACATTTAACTCTCTCTTTTCTTTCAAGAATCAGTGCTAATCGTTTTTTTGTTTTCTCCTTTCTGTTCAAATTGAAGAATATGAAATCACTGTTTGACTTTTTCTGGGTTTGATGTAAATTTTTTTTGAAATATTTGACAGTGGATGCTCTTACAACTTTCTTAACCGGTTTAGGCGTCACAGACTTCAATGTTTCACATTGTGAAAATAGCAGCAACCTGGTGGCTGGTGCTGAAATAAGGTGTAATTGCAGTTTCAAGGACAAGGATGGCAATTTCACTTGCCATATAACCGAAATGTACGTATGCACGTGGCCTAATGCATAAATTTGATCTTGACATTCGGTAAATTATCCTTGTGTCTCCTGAACTTTGCGAGGATTCAATCATGACTCCGTATTTTTATATTTCAATAATAATTATAGCTTTTGCCAAAATGAAATATCTTTGTATATGTTTAATTTTCACATTTCATTTTGGTGACAGAAATATGATGAGTAGCTTGCTAAGTGGTTATATGGATGATGCAATAAGTGGGCTTCAACACTTGCAAATTCTGCTCCCATCTCATCTCTTTTTATAAATATAGCAAACAATATGACACTAATTCTGTATTTGTTTTTTTAAATTTCAGGGATCTTTCATCCAATCAGCTGACTGGATCCCTACCACAAAGCATGGGAAATTTAACTAGTTTGACAGACCTGTAAGTATAATCAACTTGCAAATTCTTTAATCTTGACATGAATAGTTTAATTGTCTTCAACAAAAGACATTCAGTATTACTTTACTACTGAAACAACCAAATATGCCATTTGTGATTCTATTTGATCAGCAATCTAGAGAACAATCAGCTCGGAGGTACTATTCCCAACAGCTTTCAAGCTTTAAATTCACTTGAGTACTTGTAAGTTAATTAATTATTTAACATCTCTGATTTTATTTTGACTGTGTGAGCATATATATTAAGTTGAGTTTTGTGCAAAATTAGGGATCTTTCTAGGAATTTCTTGAATGGGCCAATGACTGGATTGGGCAATCTGCAAAATTTGATTCGAATGCGAGTACTTCCCTTATTGCCTATAGAATTATTTCAGTACATTAAATGAATTTGAGCTTATAACTGCTGTTGAAAAACTCCATGCAACAGGGATTTGACCTTCAACTTCTTGAATCAATCCATACCTAAATCATTTGGTAACCTCTCATCGCTGGAGACATTGTAAGTCATTTAAAATTTTTGCATGAAAATTAAGAAAATAATTAATTCTCTTAAATTACAACTAAATCAAAAATAATTTGATCAAATTATCATTTATCTCAAATCAAGAGTAACTGGATAAAAGTTTGTATATAATGTGAATATAAGTAATATTAGAAATTCATCATTTATTACTCGTTAAAAATACTCAAAATAACTTATACATTGAAATAAAATAATCACCCAAAAATGATTTATATTTAGGACGAATGAGTAATATTACGTACATACAATTTTAATTATATAAACATTGTGGCTTTACAGGTATCTTGACAGTAACATGTTATCAGGCCCAATTCCTGATGAACTGGGGAACCTCACTCAACTTGATTTTCTGTATGAAGTCATTTAATTTAATTTAATTAATTTATTTATATATCCTTATGTATGAAGTTATGTATATGCTATAGACCATATGCTGTATACTAAAAAAAAAAAAAAAAAAAAATCAGGTCTTCGGATGACAATGAACTCACCGGTCCACTTCCTCAAGCACTTGGAAAATTGAGCAATATTAAAAGTTTGTAAGTTTCATTTAATTTTATTTATTTTCGTATTTTTTTTTATTATGAAAAGGTATATTTTTCTTCTTATTAACTAATTCTAAATGTCATTAAAAGGGGAACTGTAAGAGGTAATTTTTGAAAATAGGAATTTGCTACAGGCTTTTTAATTACTAAATTAGTCAAGGAGTAATAAATATTTTTTTCATATTTATTTTTTGGATACGACCAATAATTATTACTTTAATTTTATAGTTTTTTTTGAGAATTAATATTAAATTAAGAGTAATATAGTCAATTTATTCAATAATTTATTGTAACTTAAATTAATTTAATGGTTTTGTTAAGAGACGTGAAATTCCAAATGTAACAAGTATTATGAAACAGAAATAATATTTTATTAAACTTATAAGTTACTTTTTTCATATTTACCATTCCTTTGTATATGAACAATAATTATTACTTCAATTTAATGGTTTTCTTAGAGAATTAATATTAAATTAAGGGTAAAATAGTTAATTTACTCAATAATTTATTGTAACTTAGATAAATTTAATGGTTTTTTTAAAAGACATGAAATTTAAAATGTGATAAATATTATGGAATAGAGATAGTATCCACCGAATTTACAAATTACTTTTTTAATGTATTACAGCTACTCTTAACTAAAACTTTATGATTGCAGCTGGTTGAATTCCAACTATCTTACAGGTGAAATTCCACAAAGTTATTCCCAACTTACTGGACTTGAAATCTTGTAAGTCATTCCTATCATTATTATTTGGTTTTTTATGCAATAAATCGCATAAATAATTGTTTATAAATTTCTTTACTTTATTTTTTGAAGTCAGACTTCAAAAAGAAATTTTTTATTTTTAAGGAATTTCTTGATGTGAATTTGTAAATATCTTTCAAGTTCCCAAATTGATCAATGCAATGCAGTGCCGTAGCTGGAAATTATTTATCTGGCCCTCTACGTGATTACATTGCAAACTGGACGAACCTCACTCATCTGTAAGATTTCTTAAGAATTTATTTTAATACAAATAAACGTTCTTCAAAATTTTAGGATATAATATGTTTATTTTTTTTGTAATTTTACTATTAAAACTAAAAATTAAAGAATTTAGAATGTTTGTACCATTACAAACTTGTCAGGAATCTTCTGGGAAATAATTTTGAAGGGAATCTACCAGAAGGGATTTTCAAGCTTCCAGATCTTGAGAAATTGTATGTGCAGTTAAATGACAATTATTTTTTATAATTTCATTTCAAGAAACAGTTGAAGCGCTGTCGTTTTCTAGTTAAAGCTTTCTAAGAAGTGGTTCAATGATTTCAGGTGGGTTAGTGGCTTAAGGAATCCTGGTTTTGCTTTCCCCAAACAAGCGGACTTGATGACGAACATATATTCAAGTTGGCTTCAATTGATTTCAGGTGGCTTAGTTGGCTAAGGGAATCTTATATGGCCTTAAGGAATCCTGGTCTTTTGCTTTCCCAAACAAGCGGACTTGCTGTCACGAACATCATATATTCTTTTGGAGTAGTATTTTCTGTTCTCTGTACATATATTGTTCCAATGTATTAAAAACATATTAAGATTTGCATTTTGTTTGTATGGTTCCTATTAAATATTGGTTGAGAGGGAATTTGGTCAATTTTTTGGTTTTTTTTTTTTTATTTTTGTTTTTTCAAGGCAATGTGTATCTTTTATCGTATAAGTAGAAGAATTTAAATATCAATTATGTAATCCTGTTCTCCCAAATCCCAAAAAGATCATGTTTATAATTTCTTTTTGGTTCTGTCCCAAAAAATATAAATTTTTTTTTTTTTTTTTTTTTGCATTATACCGTGTTTAAGCTTTAAATATTTATTTAATATAACAGTTGAAGCGCTGTCGTTTTCTAGTTAAAGCTTTCTAAGAAGTGGTTCAATGATTTCAGGTGGGTTAGTGGCTTAAGGAATCCTGGTTTTGCTTTCCCCAAACAAGCGGACTTGATGACGAACATATATTCTTTGTGAGTATTTCTGTGTACATATATTGTTCCAATGTATTAAAAACATATTAAATTTTGCATTTTGTTGTAATTGGTCTAAAATTGGTGAAGGATTGGTCAAATTTTGGTTTTTTTTTTTTATTTTTGTTTTTCAAGGAATGTTATTTTTATCGTTAAGTAGAAGAATTAAATATCAATGTAATCCTGTCTCCATCCAAAAAGATAGTTTATATTTTCTTTTTGGTTTGTCCCAAAATATAATTTTTTTTTTTTTTGCATTATAGTTAATGCTTAAATTATTTATTATACCCTTGTTAAATTTTATCTTATTTTCAATAACCCTCATTAATTCTCACTTATTATTATAATATAATAATTATTCATGTGTTATTTCAGATGAACATAATAGGAAAATTATATGAATAAAATTGTCCTTTAACAATAATAATTGCTACTTTCTTAATCTGTATGAAAATAGAAGTGATATCTTTTTAAAACGGAGGGAGTAGTAAATAAATGGGAGTAAATAGTAATATTATACTAAATGTGAATGGCTAAATAATTAAATATTACATAATATTTAGGTTGTGTTTGACAATAATTTTTTAAGTAGATTTTATCTTGTTGATTGGTTGTTTTAGGTAGATTTTGCATGTTATTTTTGTATAGTGTTGGGTAACATAACATTTGAGCTAGCTTTTAAAGGTTAATGTAATATTGTATGAATGGTCTATTCGGTAAAATTAGCTGTTGGCTATTTTAGTAACATTTAACTTTTAGTGGTTTGAGTAGTTTTTCATGAAATGCTAAAAGCTACACGCCCCATGAGTTAACTTTTTATAAAACGCTACAGGGTGCTGAGGAATTGCTCAATCAATGACACAATTCCTCCTTATATTGCTAAATGGCCTGAATTGACCCATCTGTAAGTATTATTCTAATCAGTGTTCTTGTTTTATATTGCTAAATGGTCTAAAATTTCTTATTTAGATAAGGAAATAATATATTGCTAAATGGTCTAAAAATGACAGAACTGTAACTGCTATTTAACTGTAACTTCTTTCCCTACAATTTTTAATCTATTCTTTAAATTCCTAACTGTACTATTTTCGTATGTTCAACTAGTATAATCCATTTTCTACGGATATGAAATATAGACTTTTGAAAGATATAAAGAATAAACAAACCAATCTCGATTTGAAATCTCCAATGAGAGTTAATAGGGTAAACTGATCTTTTACTTCTATTAAATTTCTTCATTCTATTAGAGAGGATTTGCATATTTTTCCATATAATTATCCAAACAATAAAATTTTATAAGTAAAATCACTGTAACGATAACAATGATAAACCAGAAACGGTAAAAAACAACCCGATTTAAGAGAAAAATCTCAAGATATGTACAATAATCATCCTAATAATAACCAAAATCTATGTCAAAGGACAAAAATATGAGGATTATTCAGAAAAAAAATAAAAGGAAAACTGATCCAGTGAAAACTCGTCTTTGACCGTTCATGAAAGGAGACAAAAAAATAGAGAACTTTTAAATTTTCAAGAAAGACTTTATGTAAAAAAACGTAACCGTCTAATATCACTAATTTTAATTTTAGTGAAAGCCAGTTTTATTTAATTAATGTTTGATATTTCCTTCTTGCAGTGATTTGAGCTTCAACAACTTAAATGGTGAAATCCAACAATTTAATACAGGAACGATGTATGTGAGATATTTTCTCTCCTAATATTGTTTAATCACAATCAATCATGCAAATGAATAATTTACATATGATAGATAATAATTAAATTACTATACACAATTTATATAGGAATTATCATATTATTCTTTTGTTTTCATTACAATAATATTCAAAGTTGAAATATGTCCAATGGGTTCATTTTTTTTTTTTCTATTAGACTTTTATCAAGAAATAAGTTTAAAGGGAAATTTCCTCCGTGGATCAGTGAGCTATCACCACAGCTTTATCGATCACTTGAACTGTAAGTACACAAAACATATATATACACACACAGTTGAATCTTAATTTATTGAATTTGGGCTATTCAAGAATATACTCGATAGCATGTCTAGGTACCAAGGTATTCTTCGCCAGATTCATGTCCAATTTTTTTTTTTTTTCATTGGGAATATATGATGTAATTCTTTACCTTGATAAATAAATATTGTGACATTTTAAATTTTAAAATAGGGTTCGCCTCAATTTCATTTTTTATATTGATTAAACATCCTCTCACACTCGCAACAGTAATTTTAAGGTTTTTTTTAACATATAAAATACTAATTTGATACGTAGCTAATATAATTATTAGAATAATAATTTTTACATTTTTTAATTATTTAATAAAATATTTAATCGATCTAATTTTATAAATTCAGGTATTCAATAGATCAAATTAAAGTGTTTAATATGTGTATTTTTATAAATCGAAGTGTATAATCCATCAAAATAAAAATTAACATTGTAATTTGATCTTTATATATATTTATGTGTGGCGTTAGCGAATAATTCCATTTTGTCTTGTAGTGATCTTTCACACAATGATTTCACAGATATGCCAAACCATGAAAATGGAACACTTCAACGTTCGTTAAATACGATTATTATGTAAGAGATATATTGGAAACATATTTCACATTATCTGTTGTTTGGAGGGTTGTAAATTGTTTCAAAACTCACCTTGCGTTTTTGCTTACTACTTGCATGTTGTTGATGGATATTCAGAGAGCCAACGAGGTATGCTTGCTTTTACATCTTTAATTTTATGTAATGAATCTTGAATTATATGTTTCTAATTACAATTTACACATTTATTTATCTTTCAGAGAATACATATATCAGAAAGGAAAAAAATGTCGTAAAAAAAGTAAGTTTACTATTCAGAACTTATAAAATCTAGTGAGTATTTTTTTTCATGTATTAAGAATATATTTAACTGCTTGTAGAAATAAAAAAATAATAGTAATAAATAAATAGCTGATGAAACCCTAAACGCTACAACATTTACTTTTGCCAAAGTTATTTAAACAGCTAAATACTATTAAAATAACTAACAACTACCAAAATAACTAATTTTGCTAAATAGGCTCTAAATAAAAACTTTTAAATATAGAAATTACTAATAAATGTTTGTTGCAGCTCACTCTCTGTCTATAAACTGTGGTGGTGACAAAGTGAATTTTGACAAGCAAAATTATGAAAATGATACTGCAATATCAAACTTTTATGAAAGTCCTGATGGAAATTGGGCTTATAGCGTTTCTGGAGACTTCATCACTCCAACCACCATAGAGAACTTAACATGTGGAGTCTCCGTTCCTGAGGGAGACCTATACGTCAATGCTCGTGTTGCTCCTATCTCCCTCACCTATTATGCCTTCTGTTTGCATAAAGGCAAATACCGTATCAAACTTTTTTTTGCTGAAACTTCATTTTCCAAAAATGAAGATCACAGTATTCTGAAGAAACGCATTTTTGATGTACATATTCAGGTAATTTGCCTAATTGTTTCTAAAGGGGATTCTTTTTAATGGTTAGAAATTGTTATAATGCTCTTGCGACGATTGAAGTATTACTCTTAACTAATTTTCGAGTTCTTGATTTTAATTACAGAAAAAGAAAGTATTACAGGATTTCAACATACAGAAAGAGGCTAAAGGAGCTAAGTATAAAAACATTATGAAAAGTTTCACGGCTACAATACGTGACCACGAACCATTGCAGATAGACTTCTTCTGGGCTGGTAGGGGATCTCTAGATAAAAATGGACCTCTCGTTTCAGCTATTTCCATAACGCATGGTATAATGTTGAACATTTTGTTGCTTCAGTGTGATCTCACATTTTAGTTTTTTCACTTCATAATGGCTACTGCATTTTGGGGTTTTGAAGCTCCAAGAAAATTAAAAGCTTGGGAAATAGTTGCAATTGCGGCAGCTTGCGTCCTCTTTCTGTTCCTTTTGTTAGCTTTCCTGTGGAGAATGGGATGGATAGGAGACAGAGAGTTGCACAGTAAGACATTCATCCCCTAATAATTTTTATAAACACTCGCACATACACTATAACTTCTTTGATTTGATGTTTGAAATTGGAACACAGAAACACGTATAAAGCTTTCAGAAACACAGGCTTACAGTGTTAAAGAAATAATTAATGCCACTCAAAAGTTCAGCCCAAAAACACAGATTGGCAAGGATGGTCGTTTTGGAATAGTCTACAAGGTTGAAATCTTTTATCTTGTTATTTTTTTGGCGTTAATTATAGCTCCTTATGTTTTTCTCCTTCCACTGCTCTATTTGCAGGCTGTACTGCCAAATTTGACAGTAGCAGTGAAGAAGCTTTTTCCTCAATCAAAGGCAGCTGCTGAAATAAGAGCAGAGGTTTTTGCATTGTCTAAGTTAGAAAATCAGAATCTTGTTAAATTACTGGGTTCTTATTCAAAAAGAGGCTTGCATTTGCTAATTTATGAATATATGGAAAACGGATCCCTTGAGGAAGTCTTATTTGGTACGTAATTTATAGCCCTTATGTTTTTCTCCTTCTCCACTGGCCTCTATTTGCAGGCTGTACTGCCAAATTGACAGTAGCAGTGAGGACAGAAGCTTTTTTTCTCTCAAACAAGGCAGCTGCTGAAATTAAGAGCAGTAGGTTTTTGCATTGCTCTAAGTTAGGAAAATTCAGAATCTTTGTTTAAATTTACTGGGGGGTCTTGTTAAATTACTGGGTTCTTATTCAAAAAGAGGCTTGCATTTGCTAATTTATGAATATATGGAAAACGGATCCCTTGAGGAAGTCTTATTTGGTACGTAATTTTCTTTTATCCCAGGAGCTCACTGATCTTATATCCATTTTATAACTTATTAAGTATTTATATGCAGATGCTAATCGTTCAGCACATCTTAGTTGGGAAAAAAGATACAAAATTTGTGAACAAATAGCCCTAGGTTTGGAGTTTTTACATAAAATGGAGCCGCCCGTAATCCATAGAAATATCAAGGCCAGTAATATTCTGCTTGATAGAGATTATAATGCTAAAATCTCAGACTTTGGATTGGCAAAACTTTATGAGGAAGATGATCCATTTATGTTCACTAAAGATCCCAGAAGTGCACTGTAAGTACCGAAACAACAAAAATTTCTTCGCTATTGCTTTATAGACAACAACAAAAAAAAAACAACAAAAATTTCTTCGCTATTGCTTTATAGACAACAACAAAAAAAAAGGGATAATTTGTTGATGTTACATGCAGGAAGTACATGGCACCTGAGTATGCATCTCAAAAGAACATAACAGTGAAAATTGATGTGTATAGCTTTGGGCTTCTGCTACTTGAAATCATTAGTGGGAAAGAGATTGATAAAAACCTTGGAGATCCTGACAATAGTATTTATCTTTTGGAAAAGGTAATGAATGCATACTTATTTTTTATTTATTTATTTAATTAGTTCTTTTATAAGGTGAACATAATTGAATGATGAAGCATAGGCGCTGTTTCGCAACAGATTTTTAGATAGAGTAAGGTCTTAAGAAGTAAGGTCTTAGTTGGTGTATTGGGGGAAGGCCTATTTGGCTTGGGGTTTAGATTCTTGAATTAGTTAAATGTTTTTCCGGTTCTTCTTTTCTAATAATTCTCTTTTCTAATAAAATTAAGAAATTTTATTTGCTGATAAATAAAAACATAGACGGGACAATAAATTTTTAGATAACTTTTAGTGTTTTGATTAGTTAAAACAATAAACGCTATTGTTTGTAGTATTCGGTAACATAACGGTTGAATTAACTTTTAGATATTAAGGTAGCATTTTATGAAAAGAAAATTAATTCATGTAACGTTTACTTTTTTAAATTTTACGAAAAGACATTTAACAATTATCAAAACAGCTAATTTTATCAAAAGACCCTTAGGTTAGATGTTATAGTATCAATTAATTGTTCTATTAGCTGTTAGGTGTTCAATGAGCTATTAGCTGTTAACTATTATGTGGTAGCTACTTATATAACGGTTTAAATTAAAAGTATTCGATAAAAACAGTAGTTTAATTAAATTTTTAATTAGCTGACTTTTGGAGAAAAAACCAATGAGTATTAAACCAATTTGATATAGCTCATTCAACATTTAAAACCTATTACAAAAGCTATTATTAAACAGTACAATTAATAAAAAAAGAATTTTAATTTATTCCAATCTGCTGAAAGGCCGAACAGGGCCTTAAACTAAATAGCAAAACTGTTTAAATGTAGGCCGACATGTGTCGCAAGCAAAAAATGTACGAACAATTAATTGATGAAACATTGAAAGAGCGTCCATCAGGGAGAGTACCATCAACAACGCTATATCAAGCCATTACCGTCATTGAGTTAGCAATGCTGTGCACCGATTGGCCTTCTATTCGACCCCCAATATCAGATGTAGTGAGCGTGCTTCAGGGTAAAATAACCGTTGAGGATATGACTAAGGTTTAATTTCACACTTGGAATTTAATTTTAGACTCTATTTTCATTTATTATTATGGTGGTGTTTTTTTTTTTTTTTTTTTTTTTGGATGTTTTTTTTTTTTTTTTTTTTTGGTTGTTTATTTGTGTTCTTTTTTTATTTTTTTGGAGAGTTTTTTTTTTTTTTTTTTGTTGTTTTATTGTGTTCTTTTTATTTTTTTGGAGAGTTTTATATGTATTGCAACCTTTTGGGCAAATATTAAAAGAATGTAATGGTTTGAGTAGATGGGCAAATAAATTATTGAGTTAATTGACTATATTACTCTTGATTTAGTACTAATTTTCTAAGAAAACCATTAAATTAAAGTAATAATTATTAGTTGTATACAAATGGTAAATATGAAAAAAAAAATTTTATTACAACTTGAAACCACAAATGTGACAAATATTATGGAATGAGATAGTATTAATCTTGTATTTATTAAGGCTTCAAATATCCAAATAATTTGTGGTATGAGTAGGGATGGTAAAAATACCTGACTCGATGGATATTCAATCCCGTCTCATCCAATTTTAGCCGTCTGAATATTGTGTAAAATTGTAAATGGATTCAGGTAATGATTTATTTTGTACGGTTTTGTTCTGATTTTATGCATAAACTAAAGTAGGATTTGTTCTAGTGTTGGGATTATAATTATATGTTAGCTTTGAGTTGGATATAAATGACTTGTTTTCTTTATTAATGCGCATTTATAATTTTGATTGATCAATATTTAGATACTTAATGCTATGAATATGTGGTCAACCTTATTTAGAGGGTTTAAGATTGTTAGAAAAATATAAAATAATTATAATAAAATGATTATTAAGATAAAACAACTTTCCATTATTTAAAAAAAAATGTAAGTCAGTTTCTTGAAAAAACATTATAAAAGAAAAAAAGAGATAGAACTCTCTTTAACACACAGAAGAAGAAAGAAAAAATATCGCTCAAAAATCTCTTTGATAACAATCAAATAATATCAAGTGAATTGAGTTGTGGACCATTGGAGATTTTTTTTTTTGTAAAATCACTTAAGCTTAGTGTTCAAAGAAAGGAAAGAGGATTTTGCTTCAAATGCATTGCGTATTTACAAGAAGTCAGTAATTTTCTGGGCAAAACATGAATTAATAGGTTTGATTCTTTTTAATCTAACAAAGATATTTATTTATGTTATAGACTGAAAGATGAAGCCTAATATCATAACCTCATGTTGTTGAACCTAGAAAGCTGGACTTATAGATAGGTCATCTTTGAGGGCAAAAGGGTTGACGCCTGTTTATTGGATTTCAATCATTTGATATCATTTGATTCTGATATTCATTTCGCTTTAGAGAAAGGACTTGGATATTTTAGGCTAACTTTCTTCAAGGATTTGGATATTTCAATCAATTTTTATGAAGGCGACAATTTTTCTATACCATTTATACGATTGTGCACTCATGGAGCACGTCATTGCGATCAATTAGCTTCTCGAAAAATAGAGAACATGGATGGACCAATTTAAGGAAAAGAACTATCAATTTAACAAAACAAAGGCCAAACAGCAACAGGAGACCATTAATGATATTTAGTATTTTACAACTAACAAATTATCATTTTCTACCTGAACCCTGGTGTAGCCTTGTGAGTAAGCTAATTTGAGACCTTCAAAGATGGCAATAATTCAGAACCTAAAACAGTAATCTCACTAATCCCAAACAAAAACAACCAAGCCAATATCCAAAGCTACATCCCCTTTATTCTTCTACTTTCCCTTTTCTCTTTTTCTTTTTCTTTTTCTTCTCTCTCCATCCGACACTTGCTCTTCGTCCACTCTACAGAGGACCACCTTCTTTTTCTTTTTTAAACCCTCCTTCTTTACTACTAATGCAGAGACTTACATTATTAACAAAAGTTTCCGTTGTTTTTTTTTTCTTATTTTCTTTCGTTTCTCCTGTATATCCATGACTAAAAAATTTTATTATTTCAATTATTATTTAAAAAAACCCTGACATACTTGAATTTATTTGGCAATATTAATTGTTTTAATAGCCGGTAGATACTGCAGTAAACTTGTCCTATTGTTCTTGATGGTGGCCATGACCATGATAGTGGGAAACCAGCGATGGCGCATCTGGTCCCATGTTGTTTTCTTTTTATCTTTCTAAAACTTGTATGTATTATCATTTCTCTTTGGAGAACATTACTTTTTTCTTTTGAAGGAAAGGATATTACTTTTATTATTATTGTTATTACTTTAGTACAAAAATTAGTTGTCATTTGCATAAACAGGTGAGTGAGTGATCTCTGCTTGCCATTTTCAAGCCACAAATTCCTCAATCATCTAAAACTACTTGTTTTCCTTTCCAGGATATATACAAAAGCTCTCACTTATCAAGTTGATTTCACAATATTTAGGTACGTGAAAGCTCTCAATTTTTTATATATACACACATAGTTCTTTTTTTCACTGACATAATCCTTCTGCCTTTTTTTTTTTTTTTGGCTTTCTCAATTTTTTTATATATACACACATAGTTCTTTTTTTCACTGAACATAATTCCTTCTGCCTTTTTTTTTTTTTTTTGGGGTTATTTTTTTTTTTTTTGGGTTATAATTTATAATTAATAATCCTTTTTTCATTTTTTTTCTCCTCCTTCACAAGTTAAATTTTACTCTAATTAGGGATCGCGATGTAATTAATGTATATAGTTAATTAGATTTTTCTTTTCTTTTTTTTCTTAAAATATATTTTTAAGGGCTTTCACGGGAACTTTTATTTTGATTGAATTTTGGTTTTAAATTCATTCCTCTTATCTCAAAAATTTCTTGTATTTTATTTTTAAGGTTATCCAAGTTTTTCAGTTAGCATTTTCAAATAGATTTGGGTGTATTTGAGGATCCTATTGACTCGGATATAATTTTTAGATTTTATAAATTTTTTCTGGATATAATAATTAATAAAACAAGATATTTTTTCTGATAAAAAAATTATATATATTTCAGGGATTTATTAGCTTTCTGTTTGTTTAGGTTGACAGTAATACTTTAACTTTGATATTTCTACTCTATTTGGGAAATAGTTTGGATACTAAAGTGTGAAAAAAAAAACTTATATAAACAATAATAAAGTAAAATAAATATTAAATATTAAAGCTAAATATAAGTGATGCTAAATTAAATTAAATTGGATCGTATAACTTAGTTTTTTCTACACTTAAATTAAAAGTAATTTAGTTTATAATTTTATAAAAAAAATAATCATAATTGAAAGCGCAAAAAAAAATTATGGAAAAATGAAAGCTCGTTAATAAAAAGACAGGTATACCAATGTTAGTTGGGATAGAGTGATTAAGATTTTTTCTCTCTTAATTAAAGTTGCAATCTGATGGACTTTCAGACACCCGTAGTTATATATATATATATATATATAAAAGGACATGTAATATAATTTTTAGAATATTGTTGCTTAAGTAATATTACCGTTGATGTAAAGAAATTAACAGATTATTCATTTTAGTCCCAAGCCTATGGGCAGTTGAGTTACATTCTTTTGTTAAATGTGTGAACTTTACAGGTTGCTGCCCAAACAGTTAAAGAATATGGAAGAAGTGGCATCTGTGATTCTTGAAAAACTAGCCATCGTGTTGATTTCTTTTGGAAAAACTTAGCAGATGAACTTACTGGAAGCGATCAAAAATTCAAGCTCAATATTGCAATTGACTTCAAATCTGACCTCAAGAACTGAAGATAAGCTTTAAAATTGTCAGATGGTTTCTTTTGCTGATTATGAAGCTTAAAATTGTCAATGGTTTCTTTGCTGATATGGATAAGCTCAAGGAAAAGAAACAAGTTCTCAAGGAAGCTTTGTCTCAGTTGAGAGATTTGGCTTATGATGCTGATGACATTTTAACAGATTGCATGATCAGAGAGGAATATAAGAAAGATGGACACTGCTTCTCGCTAAATGATCCGATTTTCGCGTATAAAATGGGAAGAAAGTTGAAAGATTTAAATTCACGTATGGAAAAGGTAGAGGATAGCATGAACAAGTATCTCAATAGTCAATCACAACAATTGAACAAGAACGAAGGAAGTATGGATACGGGATTATTTATTTCTCAGCACCTCACCTTATCTGACTCAGTAGTTGGATTGGAAGAAGACACAAGAAAGCTCAAGAAATGGATTCTCTCCGAGGATAGGCCACCACTGCAATTTGTTGGTATTGTCGGGATGGGAGGTTCAGGCAAAACTACTCTTGCTTGGGAAATTTACAATGACAAGGAAGTAATGGATACATTTAAGCAAAACAGAATCTGGTTGACTGTTTCTCAAGATTGCAATGAAGAAAGCATTATAAAGAGCATATTGGAAGAACTTAAAAAACAGCAGCAGGAGGAGACACAAGGAGGTGATGATCATGAAAGTTTCTGCCTTGTCATTTTGGACGATATATGGAATGTTTTCAATCTATCTCATTGGCAGGACTTATGCTCTAGTCTTGAGAAAAAACGAGGTCAAAATACCTGCATCATTATCACAACTAGAATAGAAGAAGTTGCAATCGGTATGCGGGTAAACAGTTCTCGAATCCATTATCCAAAAGCTTTAGAAGATGAAAAAAGCTGGTTATTGTTTCACAAGGTTGCATTTTCTCCCAATGACGATATCTGTAAAGATGAGAATATCATCGAAGTTGGAAAAAAGATCGAAGTTGGAAAAAAGATAGTTAAGAAATGCGGAGGACTTCCTCTAGCAATCAAAACCATAGCAGCCTTATTGAAATCAAAACGCCAGCTTAATGAGTGGGAAAATGTTTATAAAGAGTTCCAGAAATTAACTCAAGAGAAGGTCCCAGTAATGGCGTCTTTGCAACTAAGTTATGATGCACTCCCGCGACACCTGAAGCAATTTCTCTTGAGTTTTTCTATTTATCCTGAAGATTTTGAGATTCGAGCTGAACAATTGGTCCACTGGTGGGTTGGCGAAGGCCTTATCGAAGGCCTTATCAAGGAGCCGGGAATTCAAAAACGTGCAATGGATGTGGGTTGGCGAAGGCCTTATCAAGAGCCGGAATTCAAAAACTGCAATGGATTTGGGGTATGAATATTTAGCAGACTTAGCTGGGAGATGCTTGGTTGAAGTAGTACGGAGGCGTGGTTATGATGGAAAAGTCCACAGTTGTAAAATGCATGATCTTGTGCGTGATTTGACCATTAAAATTGCAGGAGAAGAAGCACTTTGCAGTTTCGAAAGTGGAGGCAAGCAACGACAATTAATAAGGCCAGATTCACGTTGGTTGGGTATCACAAATGAAAATATTTCAATATCATCATTGAGTCAATGTTCCAAATTGAGGGCATTTCTATTGATGTCTAGCTTAAGCATTTCATCAAACATGCCTAGCTCCCTGAGTTCCCTTAGAGTTTTGGATCTCTCCAATGGCAAGCTAGATGACAAATCTGTGGAGAATCTGTTCAAATGGATCATTTTACTCAAACGCTTGGCACATCTCAATCTAAGCGGGGCTCCTGGTCTCAAAAATGTTCCACGCATTCGAAAACTCCGAAACCTTCAGCTTTTGGTTTTGAGTGGATGCAGTAATTTAGCAAGTCTAAATTATTCATCCATCATTTATTTGAAGAAGCTCTTGATTTTGGACTTGGGATCCTGTGATAGTCTTATGTTCTTACCGCCAGGAATTGGAAGGCTAACAAAACTTGAAGAATTGTCTGGATTCAAGTTGCATCGACGAGAAAATTTACAAAGTTGTGGCCTTCTTGAGCTTCAAAACCTAGTCCAACTAAGAGTACTGCGAATTAAGTTAAGTGATGAGAGCGAAATCTTGGACAATGAGTGGGAGGCCTTATCAAGACTTGAGAAACTCCAGCTTTTAGCCATTGATACTGAAAATACTAAAAAACAAACAAATCTGCAAAAGCTAGATCGGCTTAAACCACCTCCAGGTCTTGAACAAGTTTATCTTAGGCACTATCGTCGTAACCATCTACCAGAATGGATTAACCCCAAAACACTTTCTAAGTTGCAGTATTTGTCCATTGAGTTTGGAGACATAAAACACATTTGCCCAAATCTTGAACTTCGTGAAGAGAAATGGAAACTCGTGGGTTTGTGCTTGAAGTTCCTGCCACTCTTCGAGGATGAATGGGATAACTTAAAGCAGATTATGCCTTCTTTATGTGATGTTGAGGTTAGCAATTGTCCCAGTTTGAAAAATCCACCGTCTGTTAAAGCAGATTATGCCTTCTTTATGTGATGTTGAGGTTAGCAATTGTCCCAGTTTGAAAAATCCACCGTCTGAGGACAAGAGCTGGATTTGGAGAAACTAAAGCATATGAGATGGGTTTCATTTAAGATTATTTAATCTTGTTAAATATTTCATGTGTGCATTAGTTTTTTTACTTGCTTTGTAAGAGGTGTTTTTTTCATGTGTGTATTACTATATGTTTGTATTTTATTGACATGCTATATAATATGTATGTATTTTGTTGGCATAATTGTGTAATGTTATACATGTTTGGTGCATTTTGTAAAATTGATATAAAGGTTTTTTATGTGACATTCACGATTATGCATACACGATAAATTTATTGAAACTTAGATTTCATTGCTCAATTTAATTAGAATGAAACTTTCATGACATACTATAAATCAGATTTTACATTCTGTTACTAATCTCTTTGTAATCAGTCCCCAAAATGTTACAGGCCTTTAGCAACGGATCCAAATCAGTTGCTAACAGCCGTTCTAATTGGTTGCTATTCCTTTGTAAATTCACTGTCTTTTTTTCCATGAAATTTAGCAACTGATTGTAGTCTCGGTTGCGAAATTATGGTTAATCTGCTGCTAATTGACGATTTGAAATCTCGTTCTACATTCCATTGCCAAACCATTGATATTGGTTGCTATTTTAGGCGCCACGATTTATCACATATATTAGCAATGATCTGCGTTTGTTACTAATATTCCAATACTATTCTGTTGTTAATTTGTTTCTAAATTCCAAATTTGATTTCTACTTCTATAGTGTTGTTGATCCATTACCATTCAACTATTAATTTCCATTGCTAAATTGCAAATTTTTTTTATTAACAATTTCATAGGCAAGTATTGAAATTCATCGTATGTAAAATCAAATAATTACTAATAAAAATTATTTTTTCAAATTAATATAAATTATATATATATATAAAATTATACTTTAATAAGCATTTTATATTTATCAATTACACTACACGTTCATCAAAAAAATGTTACTAATATTAATATTCATCCAACTAACGGTTTATCAGTTAGCAGCCACCAGGTAATCCGCCGTCAAGTATCAAGGTAGGTTATTGTTTGATAAGGAAAGAATTCTTATCAATTGTTTGGTATAACCATTAATGCGCCATTTATAAAATTACACAACAATGGAAATAATTGATGCATATCATTAATGCGCCATTATAATTACAACAACAATGGAAATAATTGATGCATATCAAGGTATAATCTATTAGTAAGTGTATATATGACTTGACAATAGGTTCATGTTCAAATCGCGTTTCCAATAGTAAAAAAAAATGGAAACAATAAATAAAAATAAATAAATAAATAAAGATATAATATTGCAGCAACCATCAACTTTTTCTTTTTGGCTTCTTGTCCAGCACTAATACTAGTTTTGGTTGTTAGGATGGATTAAATAATTCTAAAATGTGTCCTTTTTCCTAACCTAATTCATAAAGTCACGTCCCATCCTCCACTGTTATGGGATTCTCCATCCTTTGTAAAGATTCTTGGAGTTATATAAAAAGTGGTCTGCTTGACCCCAAACCTCACTTTCATGTTTTAAAGAACAACAATTGAATTATTTTTTAAGTTAAGTAAATTCAGTTCACGTAAAATTTGAATTATTCTTTAACCAAAGCTCGTAACAAAAAAAATTAAATTAACAATATAACATATATGTAATATATAGTTATATTGCATATATAGCTATAGCTAGGAAGATCTTTTGCTTTTTATTTTTAAAAAAATAAAAAAATCAATCAGATCACACCTCATATTTACAGTAATATATTGAGTTATGTAATTAAATAAAAAATGTTGAGGAAAATTCCATTAATTTGTGCTCTCAGAACATTTTTTCTTGTTTCATTAAATAAAAAGCTGAGAATAAGACAGTGGAAAGTTACCTAATAATCTATCTCCGTGTTTACATATAAATAAATAAATATACAATCACAAAGAGTCAAAAAGTTATTTTTTTTATAAAAAAAAGTGAAAAGAAGAGTAAAAAGAAAACTGACTCTTTTTAGAGTTGGATGGCATGATTCAGACGCACTTCAAAAGAAAAATAATATAAAATGAAGACGAAAGTCTGCTGATTTGATTTATCAAACAATGCGATTGATAAATTTACTAATTTTAAAAATTATAATCTATTATTTTTCAACTAGATAAATAAATTTAGAAATTTATGAAATTCTTAAAATCTATCAATATAAATAACCACTTATAATTGTTTGGAGCTCAAATAATTGTTTTCCATAACTTTTTATTTATTTCGAAAAGTTGGCAACTAAATTTTATAAATTTGGTTTTGTTATAATTTCAGGAAATTAATTACTTTCTTCATTCAAAGAGTAATTTGATCAAATTACCTCTGGTTTTATTATAATTTAAGAAAATAATTATTTTCTTAAATTTAACATAAAAACTTTTAGCAGTTCGATTTGGTCAAAACTCTATTTATATTAGTTAAAGCTAGTATTCGGTAAAAATAATGTGATAATTAACTATTAAAATTAAAAGGACAAAAAAAGTAAAGGAACAATTTTATATCACAAATAAGGCTTGTTAATTTGTAAAAAATAATGGAAATAAATATAAAAAAATTTATCATTATAAATTGCTAGACATTAAGTGGGTTAACATTTTTTTAAACCTTCTCCTAATCTCTAAAAACTATTATATAAAAATTATTATACTATTATAACCAATGAAAATAGTGTTTGATCAAATAAAAACGCTAATGATTTTCTTAAAAGTTACTATCGAATAGGTCATTAAGATAAAATTTAGGGTATCATCACACTTACGATTAAAGCTCTTGTCAATGTCATGGATGACGAACATGAGAAAAATTAATTTAAAATTGAAAAAAAGAAAAAAAAGGAAAGGTCCTCTCTTCTTCTGTTAGCTATAAATGGATAATATATTAATATTTTAATTTTGCATGATTAAAGCTTTTATGCATGATTAAAGCTTTTATCTCTTTTTATAAATCTATATTAAAAAAAAGGGTAAAAGCTAAGGTATCCAGAGGTGATATAGTATCGTTAAGGGTAGGGCATGATAATCGTTAAGGTTTTAAAGAAAATAAATGATAAGAAGATTCAAGCTCCATTTAGTTTGGATGATGATGAAACATTTGACTCATTGCTACCAGAGAGTTTGGATGATGATGAAACATTTGACTCATTGCTACCAGAGGCCAGAGCTAAATTAGAGCATTTTCAATTCTCTAGAGGTTTGAGAGCATCTAATTGATGCAGTTAATATGATTTCATATATAGCAGCTTCTGGTTGCGTAATTAGTCATTCTAGTGGAGCACAAAGTTCAGCTCAATCGTACTGTATCTTCTGTTGTTGTTGTTTTGTCTTTCCAGTGGAGCATAATACAATTATTTCATGATTTTTTTATTGATAAAGGATTAAATAAGTAAAGAGAGAGTTAAAATGAATAGACTATTACATTAATTTTTTAAAATAAATATTCAATTATTACATTTTTTTATAGTGAAGGGGTTACCTTTACTTTTTCAATTTTATCTTCAATCTTCAATTAAGTTAGAACATGGGCTCCACATTCCACTAGCTAAAGCAACTTTGGCAGGAACTTTATTTTGTTCGACGACTACATAAGTCTGCTAATCGACCTCTCCCTCTCAACCTTGTTTAATCTGGCGTAGCAGCTCATCTATGGCAGCCACCATGAAACAAATAGTGGCAAAATCAATCAAATTAGCTGAAGAAGTTATAGTATCTACAAAGGGTGTAAGGGTCTTCAAGGATGAGTGCTATGAGATCAAGTCCAACACTCGTAAGCTCGCAGCAATTCTTCACGAAATGGTGGCTCAAGCATCCTGTAAATTCTATGATCGTCCAGCGCGTATAATCATTGACGAGACTGAACAAGTACTCCAAAGGGCCCGTTCTCTTGTGCTGAAATGCTGCCGCTTCCTCACAATCGTCTCTGCTTCTGAATTCAGAGTAGTGCAGGCCAATTGCAGTTTTCTGTAACAGATGTTTCTTGGCTCCATCGCTTATTATTTTCCAGCGACGATCATCTAGGTATACAATTATCTCTCCCTCCAATTGCCTCTAATAACCCACTCCTTGCTTGGATATGGGCAGATATTGGTGCACTATATAATGGTTCAATAGATGGTAAGCATGAGGCTGCAAATAAGCTCCTTTCGCTTTCACAAGATTGCGATTTGAATAAAAAGTCGATCATACAGGAAGCAGGGCTTGTTCCATTGTTGAAGTTGCTGAAAGAAGGTAGGATAGAAGCACAAGTCATAGCTGCAAAAGTAATTGGGACTCTAGGCTTTGACTCAGAAAGCGTTCAACGCATTATCGATGCTGGTGCCTGTTTGGTGTTTGTGAAAATCCTCAAAGAAGGTTCTATGAAAGTTCAAACTGAGGTGTCCTGGACTATATCAAATCTTGCGGCTAAATACCCGACATGCCAAGGTATTTTTGGCCAGAGTAATGCCAAGGTATTTTTGGCCAGAGTAATGTAGTTCGCCTGCTAATCAACCATCTTGCATCTGGAGTAGTTCAAGAACACGTTCCAAATGCTATTGTTATAAACAAAGCCACGTCAGTTCTTGCAATTGTAATGGCAAGGAATCATTTGAATACAAGTAAGGCAATTGAGGAATACTATGATGACAAGCCCAGGGAACCTCAGCAACAGAATGTTTCACTCGCAACAGAATGTTTCACTCCCTGGTACAAGCTTTAAAGGTGGAGAAGTCCAAGTTGAAAATGAAGACCCTGAGACCAAGACCAATATGAAAGTTATGACCGCCAGAGCTCTTTGTAACCTCCTCAAGGGCAATCCTTCTATATGCCGCACCATCATTGACTCAGGAGCTCTAATGTCTTTTATAGTTCTCTTAGACAAAGGAAATAAGGGTGTTCAATACCTTTCAGCGACCGCATTGATGGAGATCACTGCCATAGTAGAGGAAGATAGTGATGTAAGAAGAACCACATTCAGACACAGTTCACCTATTTGCAAAATTCTTGTTGATCAACTCATGAAAATTCTTCAAAGAGAAAATCAAGATTTAGACCTTCTAATCCCATGCATCAAGAGTATTGGGAATTTGGCAAAGATATTTCGAGTTGCTGAAGCAAGGATAATCGCTCCATTGGTTAATCTTCTGGATGATATTACAGATGTTGAGGTTCTAAAGGAGGCCTTAATCACCCTTGCGAAGTTTGCCTGCAAAGAAAACAATCTCCGTCATGATCATTCCAAGAAAATTATAAAAGCTGGAGGAGCAAAGAACCTAATTTCGCTCATCTTTTTCAAAGACCAAATTGTTCAATACTCAGCATTGCTTCTATTATGCTACATTACTTTGCACGTCCCGAACAGCGAAGAGCTTGTGCAGTACGAAGTGCTCAAAGTGCTAGAATGGGCTTCAAAGCAATCCTTTGTTACTCAAGATGAAACATTTGACTCATTGCTACCAGAGGCCAAAGCTAAATTAGAGCATGACGTTGAATTCACAATGTTTAGGTACGTGAAAGCTCTCAATTTTATATATATACACACGTAGTTCTTTTTTTCACTGACATAATCCTTCTGTTTTTTTTTTTTTTTTTTTTTTTTTTTTTTGGGTCATAATTTACAATTAATAATCCTTTTTTCATTTTTTTCTCCCCCTTCACAAGTTAAATTTTACTCTAATTAGGGATCGTGATGTAATTAATGTATATAGTTAATTAGATTTTTCTTTTTTTTTTTTTTTCTTCAAATCCCTATTTGGTTTAGAAATCCTAATAAGTTTTGACTTGGTCAATAAATATATTTTTAAGGGCTTTCACGGGAACTTTTATTTTGATTGAATTTTGGTTTTAAATTCATTCCTCTTATCTCAAAAATTTCTTGTATTTTATTTTTAAGGTTATCCAGGTTTTTCAGTTAGCATTTTCAAATAGATTTGGGTGTATTTGAGGATTGTATAGACTCAGATATAGTTTTTAGATTTTATAAATTTTTTCTGGATATAATTAATCAATTAAAAGTAAGATATTTTTTCTGATAAAAAAATTATATATATTTCAGGGATTTATTAGTTTTGTGTTTGTTTAGGTTGGCAGTAATAATTTAACTTTGATATTTCTACTCTATTTGGGAAATAGTTTGGATACTAAAGTGTGAAAAAAAAAATGGATACTAAAGTGTGAACTACTCTATTTGGGAAATAGTTTGGATACTAAAGTGTGAAAAAAAAAAAAAACTTATATAAATAATAATAAAGTACAATAAATATTAAATATTAAAGCTAAATATAAGTGATGCTAAATTAAATTAAATTGGATCGTATAACTTAGTTTTTTCTACACTTAAATTAAAGGTAATTTAGTTTATAATTTTATAAAAATTATAACCATAATTGAAAAAGCAAAAAAAAAAAAAAAATATGGAGAAATGAAAGCTTGTTAATAAAAAGACATGTATGCCAATGTTGGTCGAGATAGAGTGATTAAAATTTTTTTCTCTTAATTAAAGTTGGAGTCTAACGGTCTTTCGGACATGTAATATAATTTTTAGAATATTATTGTATAAGTAATATTACAGTTGATGTAAAGAAATTAACAGATTATTCATTTTAGTCCCAAGCCTAAGGGCAGTTGAGTTACATTCTTTTGTTAAATGTGAGAACTTTACAGGTTGCTGCCCAAACAATTAAAGAATATGGAAGCAGCATCTGTGATTCTTGAAAAACTAGCAGATGAACTTACTGAAGCGATCAAAAATCAAGCTCAATATGCAATTGACTTCAAATGTGACCTCGAGAACTTGAAGGACAAGCTTAAAATTGTCAATGGTTTCTTTGCTGATATGGATAAGCTCAAGGAACAGAAACAAGTTCTCAAGGAAGCTTGGTCTCAGTTGAGAGATTTGGCTTATGATGCTGATGACATTTTAACAGATTGCATGATCAGAGAGGAATATAAGAAAGATGGACACGGCTTCTCGCTAAATGATCCAATTTTCGCTTATAAAATGGGAAGAAAGTTGAAAGATTTAAATTCACGTTTGCAAAACGTAGAGGATAGCATGAACAAGTATCTCATTAGTCAATCACAACAATTGAACAAGAACGAAGTACGGATGGATAAGGGATTATTTATTTCTCAGCACCTCACCTTATCTGACTCATTAGTTGGATTGGAAGAAGACATAAGAAAGCTCAAGAAATGGATTCTCTCCGAGAATAGGCCACCACTGCAATTTGTTGGCATTGTCGGGATGGGAGGTTCAGGCAAAACTACTCTTGCTTGGGAAATTTACAATGACAAGGAAGTAATTGATAAATTTAAGCAAAACAGAATCTGGGTGACTGTTTCTCAAGATTGCGATGAAGAAAGCATTATAAACAGCATATTGGAAGAACTGAAAAAACAGCAGCAGGAGGTGACACAAGGAGGTGATGATCATGAAAGTTTCTGCCTTGTCATTTTAGACGATATATGGAATGTTTTCAATCTATCTCATTGGCAGGATTTATGCTTTAGTCTTGATAGAAAACAAGGTCAAAATACCTGCATCATTATCACAACTAGAAATGAAGAAGTTGCAATCGGTATGCGAGTAAACAGTTCTCGAATCCATTATCCAAAAGCTTTAGAAGATGAAAAATGCTGGTTATTGTTTCAGAAGGTTGCATTTTCTCCCAGTGACGATATCTGTAAAGATGAGAATATCATCCAAGTTGGAAAAAAGATAGTGAAGAAATGCGGAGGACTTCCTCTAGCAATCAAAACCATAGCAGCCTTATTGAAATCAAAACGCCAGCTTAAAGAGTGGGAAAAAGTTCATGATGAGTTCCAGAAATTAACTCAAGAGAAGGTCCCAGTAATGGCGTGTTTGCAACTAAGTTATGATGCACTCCCGCGACACCTGAAGCAATTTCTCTTGAGTTTTTCTATTTATCCTAAAGATTTTGAGATTCGAGCTGAACAATTGGTCCACTGGTGGATTGGCGAAGGCCTTGTCAAGAGCCGGGATTCAAAAACTGCAATGGATTTGGGGTATGAATATTTAGCAGACTTAGCTGGGAGATGCTTGGTTGAAGTAGTACGGAGGCGTGGTTATGATGGAAAAGTCCACAGTTGTAAAATGCATGATCTTGTGCGTGATTTAACCATTAAAACTGCAGGAGAAGAAGCACTTTGCAGTTTCGAAAGTGGAGGCAAGCAACGACAATTAATAATGCAAGATTCACTTTGGTTGGGTATCACAGATGAAAATATTTCAATATCATCATTGAGTCAATGTTCAAAATTAAGGGCAATTCTATCGATGTCTAGCTTAAGCATTTCATCAAACATGCCAATCTCCCTGAGTTCCCTTAGAGTTTTGGATCTCTCCAATGGCAAGCTAGATGACAAATCTGTGGAGAATCTGTTCAAATGGATCATTTTACTCAAACGCTTGGCACATCTCAATCTAAGCGGGGCTCCTGGTCTCAAAAATGTTCCCCGCATTCGGAAACTCCGAAACCTTCAGCTTTTGGTTTTGAGTGGATGCAGTAATTTAGTAAAATCTAAATGATTCATCCATCATTTATTTGAAGAAGCTCTTGATTTTGGACTTGGGATCCTGTGATAGTCTTATGTTCTTACCGCAAGGAATCGGAAGGCTAACAAAACTTGAAGAATTGTCTGGATTCAAGTTGCATCGACGAGAAAATTCACAAAGTTGTGGCCTTCTGAAGAATTGTCTGGATTCAAGTTGCATCGACGAGAAAATTTACAAAGTTGTGGCCTTCTTGAGCTTCAAAACCTAGTCCAACTAAGAGTACTGCGAATTAAGTTAAGTGATGAGAGCGAAATCTTGGACAATGAGTGGGAGGCCTTATCAAGACTTGAGAAACTCCAGCTTTTAGCCATTGATACTGAAAATACTAAAAAACAAACAAATCTGCAAAAGCTAGATCGGCTTAAACCACCTCCAGGTCTTGAACAAGTTTATCTTAGGCACTATCGTCGTAACCATCTACCAGAATGGATTAACCCCAAAACACTTTCTAAGTTGCAGTATTGTCCATTGAGTTTGGAGACATAAAACACATTTGCCCAAATCTTGAACTTCGTGAAGAGAAATGGAAACTCGTGGGTTTGTGCTTGAAGTTCCTGCCACTCTTCGAGGATGACTGGAAAAAATTAAAGCAGATTATGCCTTCTTTATGTGATGTTGAGGTTAGCAATTGTCCCAGTTTGAAAAATCCACCGTATGAGGACAAGAGCTGGACTTCGAGAAACTAAAGCATATGAGATGGGTTTCATGTAAGATTATTTAATCTTGTTAAATATTTCATGTGTGTATTAGTTTTTTTACTTGCTTTGTAAGAGGTGTTCTTTTTTTTATGTATAATACTACATTACTATATGTTTGTATTTTATTGACATGATATTACTATATGTTTGCATTTTATTGACATGCTATATAATATGTATGTATTTTGTTGATGCATTTTGTAAAATTTGTTGAAACTTAGATTTCATTGCTCAATTTAATTAGAATGAAACTCTCATGACATATTATAAATCAGATTTTACATTCTGCTACTAATCTCTTTGTAATCAGTCCCCAAAATGTTACATGGCTAATCTTATTAAACCGTTGCGACTAAAAGAATGTCCTGAAGGACTTTCGCAACGGATCCAAAATCAGTTGCTAACATCCATTCTAATTGGTTGCTGCTCCTTTGTAAATTCACTCTCTTTTGACCATGAAATTTAGCAACGGATTGTAATCTCGGTTACGAAATTATGGTCAATCTGCTGCTAATTCACGATTTGAAATCTTGTTCTACATTCCAATGCCAAACCATTGATATTAGTTGCTATTTTAGGGCCACGATTTATCACATATATTAGCAATGAACTGTGTTTGTTACTAATATTCCAATACTATTCTGTTGTTAATTTATTTCTAAATTCCAAATTGGATTTCTACTTCTATAGTGTTGTTGATCCATTACCATTCAACTATTAATTTCCACTGCTAAATTGCAATTTTTTTTTTATTAACAATTTCATAGGCAAGTATTGAAATTCATCGTATGTAAAATCAAATAATTACTAATAAAAATTATTTTTTCAAATAAATATAAATTATATATATATAAAAGTTATACGTTTAATAAGCATATTATATTTTATCAACTCCAATTACAGTTATCAAAATTTTATTAAATATTAATATTCACCACCAACTAACGGTTCATCACGGGATATCCACTATCAAGTATCAAAGTGGTAGAGGTTATTGTTTGATAAGGAAGAATTCTCATCAATTGTTTGGTATAACCATTAATGCACCATTATAATTACAACAACGGAAATAATTGATGCAAATTAAATTATAATTTAATGGTAAATGCATATATGACTTGACAATATATCCGTATTCAAATCGCAATTGATAAATTTATCAAACAATGCAATTGATAAATTTACTAATTTTATAAATTATAGTCTATTATTTTTCAAATAGATAAATAAACTTAGAAATTTATTAAATTCTTAAATTCTATCAATATAAATAACCACTTATAATTGTTTGGAGCTCAAATAATTGCTTTCCATAACTTTTTATTTATTTCCAAAGTTGATAACTAAATTTTATAAATTTGATTTTGTCATAAATTTAGAAAACTAATTACTTTCTTCATTCAAAGAGTAATTTGATCAAATTAACTTTCTGATTTTATTATAATTTAAGGAAATAATTGTTTTTTAAAATTTAACATAAAAATTTTAAACGATTTATATTTTGAGACTAATGGAATATAAAGCAAGACTCAAATTATAGTTGATAAAATAGTTCGCTATAAATTGATCAAAATTTTCATTTTCACCGAATACATCTAATCTAATTATCAGGATATGTTCGACAATAATATTTAAGGTAGCTTTTAGCAGTTCAACTAGATCAAAACTCTGTTTCTATTAGTTAAAGCTAGTGTTCGTCTATTAAATTTAAAAGGACAAAAAAAGTAAAGGAAATGTTTTATATCACAAATAAGGCTTGTTAATTTGTAAAAAATAATGGAAATAAATATAAAAAAAATTTATCATTATGAAATGCTAAACATTAGTGTGGTTAACAATTTTTTAAACCTTCCCTAACCTCTAAAATTATTATATAAAAATTATTGTACTATTATAACCAACGAAAACAGTGTTTTAATCAAATAAAAACCCTAATAGCTGTTTTAAAAGTTGTTATCGAATAGGTGCGTAACATAGAATTTTAGAATATCATCACACTTACAATTAAAGCTCTTGTCATGGATGACGAACATGAGAAAAATTAATTTAAAATTAAAAAAAAAAAAAAAGGGAAAGGTCCTCTCTTCGTTTGTTAGCTATGAATGGATAATATATTGATATTTAATTTTGCATGATTAAAGCTTTTTTTTTTTTTTTTTATAATTCTATATCAAAAAAAGGTAAAAGCTAAGGTATCCAAAGGTGATATATTATCGCCAAGGGCAGGGCATGATAATCGTTAAGGTCTTAAAGAAAATAAAAGATCAGAAGATTCGAGCTCCGACAAGCTTTTTCACAAGCATACAAAATCATAACAATTAATAAAGAATGAATATAGTATTGTTTCAGATTACATATTGAGTATTAAAATTATATTAATTTATTATTATTTAAACGATAATAGAAAAATAATTTTACAAATAAAAGAAATAAAATAAAGCGATAAAAAAAGAACTCGAGCAAGTAATTGTTGAGAAGAAATTAAGGATTAAAAATTATTGGGGATTATGACTTCATTTAATTTTATCCAATTTATTCTATTAGTTTGATAATCAATTTTAATTGTTCAAGCAGAAAAAACAACTCTAAAATCAGTAACAAGCTCTCTTGATGTATTGTTAACTATTTTAATCCAGTTTAACTATCTATCTTCAAATAGAGCAATCAAACATGAATTAAATCATTAAATTTTATGGTTTGTTTGTGAATTCATAATCTAAGGTCGTTAACTTATGAAAACCCCATGAGTCAAATCTAAGGTCGTTAACTTATGAAAACCCCATGAGTCAAACCAAATAGCTTCCGCATTAAGTTATTGTTCTCATATAATTTATTACTTTCTTCATATCAAAAACTCTTCTCTTGATGGTGATTAATGAAATAAATCAATCAAAGGGAGAAACTCTGCTTGAAAGCATTAAGTTCAATAATAAATTATATCATGAACATGAAAAAACAAATCTAATATTATAAATTGGAATCAAAATTAAGCTACATTAAATCCCTAATATATGAGAGTTTACTGTGTCCATTATTATGGTCCACAGTAAACTCAACTAATCTTCACTCAACTAATCTTCATTCACCTTCGGAGGCAAAAGGGTTGGCAGGAGGAGTTTAGTCGCAAAGGATTAAACTCATAACTTAAGTCGTGGTAATCAATCACGCAAGTGCTCTTCAACACTGATTACTCTCATTCGGGTTAAAAAATAAATGATAGTTCCTGATCATGTAATATTATATTCCCTTTCGTCCGATATTTTGTCTCATTTTTCTTTTCATCCATCCTAAATTGTCATTGTATTTCTTTTTTTTTAAATAATAATATTTAAAATTTATTATTTTAGTCTTATTCAATATATTTTATCTATAAATATAATAATCTAATTACTATATTATCATTTATTAGGGACTAATAAGCTACAAGAATTTCAAAAATTATCAAATAAACGGATACGATAGTTGTCGAAAATCGGTCGAGCTCAAGTCTTCTTACCTTTAATTTTTAAACCCTTATCAAATCATGCCCTACAACAGGACACTGTTACGTTTGGACATTGGACACCTTTCTAATATATATATATTATATATATATATAAATATATTATATATATATATATTTATTTATTTATTTATATTTATTTATTAGCTTTAATCAAGGTAAGTCTTCAAAATATTAATATATTAAAGAAAGAGTGTTTCCCTTTTTTTTTTCTTTTGACCTTTGAATTATGATGCATATTATTAATGAAAGAAATGATCGATACAGTCGGGAGCACTATCCCAAGTTTGAAAACAAGCCTCACTAGGAACTGATTTAGCCAACACATGAGCTATATTATTTGCTTGTCTTCTAATCCAAGCCAAGGTGACATAAGGCAATTGGACTAAGAGTAGCTTATATTCAGAGATGACAACTCCAAACTCAGATCAGTCGTGGGTAGAACTCTTCAGAGCATGATAAACTTGCAAACAATCAATCTCAACCTGAATCGTCAGATTAGGGTGACCTGATAGCACCCATGATAATACTTTTCTTAACGCCTGAGCTTCTGCTACTGCTGGAGAAGAACAGCCTTGCAGTGAAGACGTTGCTGCTGATACGAACCCGCCATGGCAGTTTGAGATTACAGCACCAACAGCTCCATGATGGCAGTTTGAGATTACAGCACCAACAGCTCCATGGCCAGCAGAGGGGAGAAGAGCTGCATCAAAGTTTATTGTAAAAGTGCCAGTGGGTGGCGGAAACCATTGATCCCCTGCAGAAGCACCTATGCCTGTATCCGAACCTGACAACTTCAGCTGGGCTTTCTTCCAAGATGCGAGCATACATCTAGCTCGAGTAACCACATGATAAGGTCCCTCTTCCACTTGGTTCCATTTGAACTCATTACGGCTTAGTCAAACACTCCACAAGCCCATAATAAA